CAGTGCAATGTAAGAAATTGCTGCATAAAGTCTACCTTATCACCCAGGACCATTTTACAAAAACCGCAGCTTCTATGTGGCGTTTCATGGCCAGAAAAGTAAATGGAGGAGGGAAAAGAACGATCTACCTCAAGGCAGCGTTCTTGCACTGATCTTGTTTAGCATCTTTACTACTGATCAGCCACAACCACCACTCACAAAGACCTTTATATTCTGGATTGTTGAAGTTTTTCCAGGCTATATGGCCATGTTCTAGAAGCATTCTCTCCTGATGTTTTGCCCACATCTATGGCAGGCATCCTCAGAGGTTGTGAGGTCTGTTGGAACTAGAAAAATGGGGTTTATATTTCTGTGGAATAATATCTAGGGTGGAAGAAAGAACTCTTGTCTGTCAGAAACATGTGTGAATGTTTCAATTGGCCACCTTGATTAGCATTTGGTGGCCTGGCAGTTTTTAGGTGTAGCAGGCGAAACGTCAGGAGAGAATGCCTCTAGACAGAGGTGGCCCTAGGTAATTTTCAATGGTAAGCAAACAGTATCTTGCCCCCCCCCCCAACCAATCATTGATATATATTTTCTGTTCATCGTGGGAGTTCTGTATGCCATATTTGGTTCAGTTCCATCATTGGTGGAGTTCAGAATGCTCTTTGATTGTAGGTGAACTATACATCCCAGTAACTACACTTGCCGCAATTGCTCCCTTGCCTGGCCCGCTTTGGGTCCGGAGGCGTGCCTGAAGACCCCGGCGTGTGCACCAAAAGTCACCTCTTCTCCTGACTTTCTCCTCAGCCATTGGGACCAAGAGAGAGAGAGAGAGAGAGAGAGAGAGAGGTGGAGATGCCCACCTTTCCTGAAGGTAGGCGCAAAAACAAAGGAGGGAGCGGAGGTGGGAGATACCTCCAGCCGGAGGGGCTCTCTCTCTCTCTCTCTCTTGGTCCCAATGGCTGAAGAGAAAGTCAGGAGAAGAGGCGACTTTTGGTGCACACGCTGGGTCTTCAGACACGCCTCCGAACCCAAAGTGGGCCAGGCGCGGCAGCTCCGCCCCTTGGCCCACCCGCGGATTGGGGAGAGGAGAGGAGGTGGGTGGAGCGCCGGGGGATGGGGAAAGGGAGCTGGTCATGGGGAAGGGATCGAATGCAGAGAACGATTGAGCGCCGTCTCTGCTCGCGCACCCGGGGGCCGGGTGGAGAAGGAACGAGAGGGGCTAGGCGAGGCTCAAGGGCCCGGCCCCTTTGGGAAAAGGATCGCCCGGCAGCGATGCAAGAAAGCCGAGGCTCCCCCCGGACTGCTAGGGCTGTTGTGAGCTGAGGGGGCACTCCTCAAGTGGCAGTCGAGGGGCATTTACAGAGGCGCCTCTGCGCCCCTGCCAAAAAAAAAGTGTTCTGCGACCGCTTACTTCGCGTAATGGATGAGCCGCCCCTGCCTCTAGAACATGGCCATATAGCCCGAAAAAACCTACAACAACCCAGTGATTCCGGCCATGAAAGCCTTCAACAATACATTGCATTAATTTGATAGTGTAGATGCACCTTTAATCTTTGTGCTGTAGTTTAAAAAAAACGCACTAATCGGACTCCAGTTCCAGTCTGTGCAAATTACTGCTCTTGGTTTAAATTCTAAATTGTTTAAATGGATTTTGCTTGTGATCCCATGATCCAGGGCAGAATATAAATATTTTAATGTGGAGAGGCAGGTGGCCTCTGCTGCGAGAAGGGAAGCCTATCCATCGCCTTCGCTCCATGCATTTGTCTAATCCCCAATTAAAGCCATCCACGTTGGCAGCCATTACTACGTCTTGCGGTAGCAAATCCCCCCATTTAAATATACAAAAGGTGAAAAACTGCTTAGAATCATAGAATTATATTCAATGCGTTTTTGCCTGATTGTTAACATGTTATTTCAGAGAATAATTAGCATCCCATAAAATCTCTGTACTTCCTTTTATAAATTGGACCATCTCTTCATCTGTATATAACCTGTTTTAATTACAAAATTTTATGTACAGTCTTTTATAATAAACTGATCTTCTTTTTAAAAAAAGACTCATAGAATTATAGAGCTGGGAGGGCCCACAAAGGCCATCTAGTCTGACCTCCCTTCATGTGGGAATATACAATTAGGTGCTCTTCCATTTTTTAAACAAGGGACCGGGCTGTGGCGCAGCTAGTTAGTAGCCAACTACATTAAATCACTACTGATGGAGAGGTCATGAGTTTGAAGCCAGCCCAGATCCGAGTGAGCTCCTGACCATTAATAGTCTAGCTTACTGTTGACCTATGCAGCCCGAAAGACAGTTGCATCTGTCAAGAGAAATGTAGATACCGCTTGATGCGGGGAGGCTAATTTAACTAATTTATGATGCCATAAAACCTTCCAGCAGCATGCATAAGAATGAGGAAGTACTCCATCAAGGTGTTACAAGTGGACAGTGAAGCGGCAGCTCCCCCTGTGGCCGGAATTGAGCATACCCTCATGAAACCGGAAAGCTGGAATGTTAAATTGCCTCTGTGTCTGTCTATATATGTTGTATGTCTAATGGCACTGAATGTTTGCCACCCTGAGTCCCATGAGAGTGAGAAGGGTGGAATATAAATACTGTAAATAAAGACCTTCAAAGGATTCTGGATTGTGGACTTTGGAAACAGTTTCTTCCAAAGAGCTCTTAAAGGCCAATTCTAAAATTTTGAGTGGAATGTTGTTTCTTGTAGTTTGAATCCATTGCTTCTCTTCATTTTCCCTGCATTGAATATCTGACAATTCCATTCCATTTTCCCCACGACAAGCATGCAGGTATACCTTCATCAACATAACATGGATCTACACTGCCATATAATCCAGTTCAAAACAGAAAATCTGGATTTTATACAGCAGTGTAGATAGGGCCATAGAGTGAATGCACCCCCACTGTAAAATGGCACTGTAAAATAGTGCCATGGCTCTATGCTATGGAATCCTGGGATTTGTAGTTGACTGAGGCAACAGAGATATGATGGTCATGGATCAAGATGTGAGGGGAAGTCATAGGGAGGAGGGAGCTAACGTTTTCTGCTGCCCTAGAGACTAGGATGCAATGAACAATGGGTTCCAACTACAGGAAAGGAAGGAGATTCCATCTGAACATGAGGAAGAACCTCCCGACTGTGAGAGCTGTTCAGCAGTGGAACTCTCTGCCCCAGACTGTGGTGGAGGCTCCTTCTTTGGAGGCTTTGAAACAGAGGCTGGATGGCCATCTGTTGGGGGTGCTTTGAATGTGATTTTCCTGCTTCTAGGCAGAATGGGGTTGGACTGGATGGCCCATGAGGTCTCTTCCAACTCTGTGATTCTATGAATTAATGCAGTCTGACACCACTTTAATTGCCATGGCTCAATGCTGTGGGATCATGGAATTCATAGTTTGGTGTGGCATCACCCCTCTTTGTCAGAGAAGGCTAAAGACCTTATGGAACTTCAACTCCCAGGATCCCATAGCAAAGGACCTTACAGAACTACAACTCCCAGGACAGCATAGCATTGAGCTAGGACTATTAAAGTGGTGTCAGACTGAATTAATCCGGCAGCGTAGACGCATCCAAGGACAGCCAAAACGAGGAGAGAAACCTTCCGTAAATGGCGAATCTGGTGGTGCTTTTCAGGCTTTTTAATGCTTTTATGACGTTGAAGCATAACAAAAGAGAAATTGAATTATGCTTGGTGTGCAAAGAAAAAAGTCTTAGAAAGAACATTTTAATCCAATCTGTGAATAATAATCACACGTGCAAAATATGAGACTGCAAATGATGAGGTATAACTGCATATTTACACCAGCCCAGCCATCTCGACATTTTTGGTTGAGAAACAGAGGAGGAAGAAAGGCTGGGCTGCATCTTGCATTTACATTTTTTTTTGTCGTGTCAGGAGAAACTGCAAGTCGCTTCTGGTGTGAGAGAATTGGCCGTCTGCAAGGACGTTGCCCAGGGGACGCCCGGATGTTTTTGATGTTTTATCATCCTTGTGGGAGGCTTCTCTCATGTCTCTGCATGAGCAGCTGGAGCTGACAGAGGGAACTCATCCGCCTCTCCCCGGATTCGAACCTGCAACCTAACGGTCTTCAGTCCTGCCGGCACAGGGGTTTAACCCACTGCACCACCGGGGGCTCTGCATTTACACTGTAGAGTTAACACAGTTTGACACCACTTTAACTGCCAAGGCACAGTGCTATGTAATCATGAGGTCAAAATATACACATGTGTTTTAATATATACACACAATAATAGAATCATAAAACAACTATTTTCTGTATTGGTTTCTCATACCCTCTTTTGTGGATTGTGGGACTTGTAGTCCAAACAGTAATGCAGACTGGATGACCTCTAGGGTCTCTTCAAACTGTACGATTCTATGATGTTATCCAGCTTCTCCTCTCGGATTTAGCTGCACAGTTTACAATACAGAGAGTTTTATTTTCAGCCTTCTCCCTAATTATCCCGTTCACGGGACTTGTGTTTTTCACAGCCGCCACTTCGAGTTAATGCTTTTGCGGAGAAATGCGCCATGAACACTAGTTGTCCAATCAGACCCCGGGATGTGAAGCACTCCAAGGGAAAGGGTTGAGAACAAAGGGCATCCAAGGTCGGAGCGAGGAAGAGAACAGGGAGGAGAAGCAGGAGAGGGCAGAAGATATGGCAGGCAAGGAGGAAGTACACAGAGCTGTGTTGCAATGGGTGAAAACATAAGAAAGAGTCGACAACAGTGTTTCTCAATTTGGAGGTCGGGACCCCTGGGAGGGTCACAAGGGGGGTGACAGAGGGGTCGCCAAAGACCATCAGAAAACACAGTATTTTCTGTTGGTCATGGGGGTTCTGTGTGGGAAGTTTGGCCCAATTCTATCATTGGTGGAGTTCAAAATGCTCTTTGATTGTAGGTGAACTATAAATCCCAGCAACTACAACTGCCAAATGTCAAATTCTATTTTCCCCAAACTCCAGTAGTGTTGCATTTGGGCATATTGGGCATATGCTTACCTGCATTAGGGTCCGGAGAGACTCCACGTAGGACTGCTCAGTATCCAGGAGAGTCATGATAACATGTTTCCGCATATCCTGCAAAAAAAGGAAGAAAGGACAACGGCTTGTGAGAATCATAGAATCATAGAATCAAAGAGTTGGAAGAGACCTCATGGGCCATCCAGTCCAACCCCATTCTGCCAAGAAGCAGGAATATTGCATTCCAATCACCCCTGACAGATGGCCATCCAGCCTCTGTTTAAAAGCTTCCAAAGAAGGAGCCTCCACCACACTCCGGGGCAGAGAGTTCCACTGCTGAACGGCTCTCACAGTCAGAAACAGTGTTCTGAAATATAACCTTGGCATGTCTGTGCATAAATCAATCTCTAGAAAGGTAAACAATGCAGGTATGCCCATTCTAAGCAAGTAGATACACTCCTGAGCATTTATTCTTTAGTCAACATTTGATACCAGAGGCAGAAATTAACATGGAAATAATAAATCCTGGTCTCATCATCCCCACCAGCTGCATCTGTGAGGAAGGTGGGACCGAGAGCAGGGCCTCCCCAGAAGATCTTAACGTCCTAGATGGTTCATAAGGAGAGATACGTTCGGATAGGTAAGTTGGACCGAAACCATGTAGGGCTTTATAGGCTAAAGCCAGCACTTTGAATTGTGCCCAGAAGCAAACTGGCATCCAGTGGAGCTGGTGCAACAGAGGAGTTGTATTGTCGAAGGCTTTCATGGCCAGAATCACTGGGTTGTTGTAGGTTTTTTCCGGGCTATATGGCCATGTTCTAGAGGCATTCTCTCCTGATGTTTTGCCTGCATCTATGGCAAGCATCCTCAAAGGTAGTGAGGTCTGTTAGAACTAGGAAAAGGAGGAGTTGTGTGCTCCCTGACCGCCGCTCCTGTTAGCAACCTGGCTGCCGCTCGTTGGACCATTTGCAGCTTCTGAACAGTCTTCAAAGGCAACCCCACATAGACTGCATTGCAGTAGTCTATATGGGATGTAACCAGAGTGTAGACTACCATGGCCAATGGCAACATTGACATGTGCCTCAAGCAGACAAGTCCTTTCTCCCACCTTGGACATTATTCCACAGATATATAAATCCGACTTCCGTAGTTTCCAACAAACCTCTCAACTGCAGACTCCTTCAACCAGAGAAGTCAGCCATAGCAGAGCACCTGATGAACCAACCTGGACACAGCATATTATTTGAGGACACAGAAATGCTGGACCACTCTAACAACCACCATGTCAGACTACACAGAGAAGCCATTGAAATCCACAAGCATGTGGACAATTTCAACAGAAAGGAGGAAACCATGAAAATGAACAAAATCTGGCTACCGGTATTAAAAAACTCTATAATTACAACAGCAAAACATCAGAGAGTAAACAACCAGGCACATCTTAACACCTCTCAACAAAAGATTCCCCCAGGCTCAGCCAGGCCTTCAAATGCTAATCAAGGTGGTCAGTTGAAACATTCACACCTAGCTCCAGCAGAGAAGAGCTCTTTGCCCCACCCCAGCCATTCCACAGATATATAAACCCATTGTCCTAATTCCAACAGACCTCACTACCTCTGAGGATGCTTGCCATAGATGCAGGCGAAACGTCAGGAAAATGCCTCTAGAACATGGCCCTATAGCCCGAAAAAACCCACAAGAACCTAGTAAACCTCTCAACCTCTGAGGATGCTTGCCATAGATGTGGATGGAACGTCAGGAGAGAATGCTTCTGAACACGGTCACAATAACCCAGTAAATAAAAACACTTGGAGTGTTCTGGGTGTCGCTTAAAGGCATCTTCCAAAGGTGCTTCTACACTGCAGAATGAATGCAGTATGACACCACTTTCATTGTCATGGCTCAATGATGCGGAATCATGGAATTTGTATTTTGGTGCAGCAGAGAAGTCTAAAGACCTTCTGGAACTACAGCTCCCAGGATCCCGTAGCATTGAGCCATGACTATTAAAATGATGTCAAAATGCATTCATTCTAAAGTGGATATCGAAGGCTAATAGAATAACTTCTTGCAATAGTTTGGGAGGAAAAATCACTTTTTTTGAATTGCACATCAACATTTGCAAGGGAATTTCTGGTTTGTTTGTCTTCGCTATTGACAACATTCTTTCCTTCCTTCTTTCCTTCTATCAATCCATCTTCTCTCCTTCCTTTCCCTTTCGCCTCCTCCTCGTTCCCTTTCCACTTTGGTTGCTTTCCCAAAAGACGCCACGCGCTAATCAAATCTATCTTTTAGCAGAATTAAAACATGCGACCGCAATCCATTTGCAGGGCAGGAAGACAACCATGAAATCGCAGTGCTGCCAGAGAGGCGGACTCTAAGAATAAACCTTGGAGAAACCAGATCAGATCTGGGGTCGACCTCCGAAGCAGAGTCCCAACGGCTCCAGCCGTATCCCATCATTCTTGCCTGATTGAGACCCAAACAAAGCCACAGCAAAGGAACTATTGGATCTTAGACTAAGGATGCATCGGCACCAGTCATGGGCCAACTTGGGTCCTCCAGGTGTTTTGGATTCAATTCCCATCATTCCTAACAGCCACATAGAATAATAGAATCAAAGAGTTGGAAGAGACCTCATGAGCCATCCAGTCCAACCCCATTCTGCCAAGAAGCAGGAATATTGCATTCAAATCACCCCTGACAGATGGCCATCCAGCCTCTGTTTAAAAGCTTCCAAAGAAGGAGCCTCCACCACACTCCGTGGCAGAGAGTTCCACTGCTGAACGGCTCTCACAGTCAGGAAGTTCTTCCTCATGTTCAGGTGGAATCTCCTTTCTTGTAGTTTGAATCCATTGTTCCATTGCGTCCTAGTCTCCAGGGAAGCAGTAAACAAGCTTGCTCCCTCCTCCCTGTGCTTCCTCTCACATATTTATACATGGCTATCATATCTCCTCTCAGCCTTCTCTTCTTCAGGCTAAACATGCCCAGCTCCTTAAGCCGCTCCTCATAGGGCTTGTTCTCCAGACCCTTGATCATTTTAGTCGCCCTCCTCTGGACACATTCCATCTTGTCAATATCTCTCTTGAATTGTGGTGCCCAGAATTGGACACAATATTCCAGGTGTGGTCTAACCAAAGCAGAATAGAGCATGGGGAGCATGACTTCCCTAGATCTAGACACTAGGCTCCTCTTGATGCAGGCCAAAATCCCATTGGCTTTTTTTGCCGCCACATCACATTGTTGGCTCATGTTTAACTTGTTGTCCATGAGGACTCCAAGATCTTTTTCACACGTACTGCTCTTGAGCCAGGCATTTTCCACACATACTGCTCCTGAGGCAGGCATCTGTATCTTTGCATTTCGTTTTTCCTGCCAAAGTGGAGTATCTAGCATTTGTCACTGTTGAACTTCATTTTGTTAGTTTTGGCCCATCTCTCTAATCTGTCAAGATCATTTTGAATTCTTAAGCTTAAGCAGCTGAGGGGGAAAAGGAAAGGGCCTGAGGCTGTTAGAAATGATGGGAGTTGAAGTCCAAAACACCTGGAGGGCCCAAGTTGGCCCATGTCTCACCTACACTGTCGAACCTATGCAGCTTGATACCGCTTTCACTGCCGTGATGCAATGCAATGCAAAGTTAAGATTTGCCTTTTGGTGAGGCACTCTTTGGCACAGAAGGTTGAACTGCAAACTACAAATCCCATTATTCCATAGGTTTGAGCCATGGCAGTTAAAATGGTGTCAAACTGCAATATTTTTCCAGCATAAATACACTCTCTGCTCAGTTCGCTGCCTCTGGTTTGCATGCCCTCCCTTGCGACTCCCTTTGCCCATCCCATTGTTTATCTTAGCCATTAAATCAATTAACTGGCTCTTAATCGAGTTAGCGAGTAATACAAAAATCAATTCAACCCAGGATTAATGTGCAGGGAAAGAGCTTCACCATTTCCCCTTTTTGGCAGCGACAAGGAGTTCAGTAAATCCATTGCAATCTGGGATGATGAGATGTACTGAACATGATTCAGATTTCCTTCTTTGTCTTTGGGGTGATATCCAAGTCACGAGGAGAGGTGGATAAGAAATAATAATACTAATAATAATAATAATAATAATAATAATAATAATAATAATAATTTGAAACACAACGAGTCCACAGCAGACACTCTGCTGGCTGTTCTATTGGATCATACGTTGTTGTTGTTGTTGTTCTTGTTGTTGTTGTTGTTATTAATTTTTTTGGGTCGTGTCAGGAGCAACCGCTCCTGTTGTGAGAGAATTGGCCGTCTACAAGGACGTTGCCCAGGGGATGCCTGGATGATTTTTGATGTTTTATCATCCTTGTGGGAGGCTTCTCTCATGTCCCCGCATGAGGAGCTGGAGCTAATAGAGGGAGCTCATCTGCCTCTCCCCGGATTCGAACCTGCGACCTGTTGGTCTTCAGTCCTGCCGGTACAGTGCTTTAACCCACTGCGCCACCGCATTATTATTATTATTATTATTATTATTATTATTATTATTATGGAGCCCCCCTTGGGCAAGTCACACTCTCACAGCCTCAGAGGAAGGCAATGGTAGCAAACCTCCCTTGAATAAAAACTTGTCCAGAAAACCGTGCAGTAGGACTGGATGAGAGCTAACAAACTGAAACTGAATCCAGACAAGACAGAGGTCCTACTGGTCAGTTGTAAGGTCGAACAGGGTATAGGGTTACAGCCTGTGTTAGACAGGGTTACACTCCCCCTGAAGACGCAGGTTCGCAGCTTGGGAGTGATCCTGGACTCATCGCTGAGCCTGGAACCCCAGGTCTCGGCGGTGGCCGGGAGAGCTTTTGCACAATTAAAAGTTGTGCACCACTTGCGCCCGTACCTTGGGAAGTCTGATCTGGCCACAGTGGTCCACGCTCTTGTTACATCCCGAATAGACTACTGCAACGCACTCTACGTGGGGTTGCCCTTGAAGACTGTTCGGAAACTTCAACTGGTCCAGCGATCGGCAGCCAGACTACTCACCGGAGCGTCATACAGGGAGCACACCACCCCCCTGCTATGCCAGCTCCACTGGCTGCCGGTTCAGTTCCGAGCACAATTCAAGGTGCTGGTTTTGACCTACAAAGCCGC